AAAGCAGAGGTACAACTTTTGTGGTCCAGTCTGTGTCTCTCTTTACATGCATGCACATGTGTGCACGTATGTCCCACCACAGGACAGCTCTCTGCCAACACAGCCAACAGTCAATCTTATGGTTTGTAAGCTTCCAGGGTACACTAATCGAAATGCAGAAGATCCCACAACCTAATGTGTACAAGAAAGTATCCAAGGAGCATGAGATTAATCAAATGTCATGTCACGAACATTTGAGCCACTGACATTGTTTTTCAAACAGACACCCACTGACCCTCCTCCACTGAGAAGAGACAGTAGATTGGAGAGGTTATTAGCAGCCTTGGCAGGGCCAGCTAGACCACAGAGGTTGGGTGGGGGAGATTCTGCCTAAGGGTTTTCAACGCTAGCTGGTAGATGGAAAAATGAATCTTTATTCCTCTATCTGAAGAATAACAAGTTCTCAAGCAGAGATTTATGTTGTAATACCAGACGAACACTGTGACATAAGTTGAATAGCTATTCTGTGTTGGTAATGTTCTAGATATTGGAAACACAACAGCGAAAAAGGCACCAGCTTTACAGCCAGCACTGAGAGTAGAATCTAAGGAAAAGGGAAGGAAATACACATGCACTCAGGAGGTTTCAATCCTGAGCCCCAGCCCTTATCAGCTATGTGACTTGCAGCAAGTTAACCCCTTGGGGCCTTAATTTTCTTACCTGCAAAATGGAGATAAGGGTATTTTACCTATAGGATTGTCACTGCTGTAGTCAGTCTGTTTCCCATCAAAAGTCATATGATGAAACTTAACCCCTGAGGTGATGGTATTTGGAGGCTGTGCCTTTAAGTGATTGGGTCCAGAGGGCAGAGTCTCAAGAATAGGATTAAGACCCTTATACAAGAGGCCCAGAAAAACTCCCCTGCCCCTTTCACCGTATAAGGACAGCGAGAAGGCATCATCTATGAATCAGGTACTTATCAAGCATCTAATGGAGGCTCCTTGTTTTTAGACTTCTCAGCCCCCAGACCTGTGAGAAGTAAATTTCTATTTATGCCACCCAGTTTATGGTAGTTTAACATAGCAACCCAAACAAACTAAGACAGTCATGACAATTAAATGAGGTAACTACCTGAAGTAGAGGCATACCACCCTTCCTTTCATGTTTATTTCCGGAAACGAGAACTGCTATGACTGTCTCCTCTAAGCCTTTGAAAGAGGGTAATGAACACTTTTTCAAGCCTCAAGAATCTGGGGAAAAGCCAGTCCACTTCTCCACAGTCAAAAGTCCAGACAGCACATTCTCAAGTCTGGGCATCTTCCTGCCCTCTTGGGTCAGTGTTCCCTTCAGAAGTTGTGCTCTTCCTCCAACTTGCAGAATTCATGTCAAATGTGCCTTCTAGGGCAACCTTGAGTTATGGTGGCATGTGAAGGCTCGGCTTGCATCTTTGACTTCACTGGAATTTGACAAATAACTCTAAGGTGCTCTTGAGTGGGGCCTCAAGACTAACATGGGGGAGGGGGACATGCAGACACATAATCTCTTATTAATAACAAAGCACGAGAGTTATTACATTGAGTCCCCACTAAGTTGCCAGGCATTCTGCTGGGTCCTAAGGCACTAGAAATACAATTAAAAGGGTGAATGGGGACCCTGTTCTCACAGAGCACTGGTTCTAGTTAAGGGACATGAAAATAAAGTAAAACAAGCTGCTAATGACATTAAGAAGAATAAAACAAATGCAAGTGGCAACGTGTTGCAAAGGACATAAGATGCTGAGACTGAGAATAGCTAGCATCCAGGTGGCCAGGAAAGGCTTCTGCTAAAAGATGACATTTTGGCTGACACCTGAAGCAAAAGCTGGAGCCAACCCTGCTGACAGCCAAAAGACTAGAAAGAGGGAATAACACATGCATAGTGCTGAACAAGGGGAAAGTTGGCAGTGGCACTGGAGCACACAGGAGGGCTGGGTGCTGACGTGGAGGGAGCAGGTTAGAGAGCATAGAGGGACAAAAATGGAGGAAAGGAGGCCAAGAGTGTGCAGGCCCAGTCCACGGTGAGGTCTGTGTTTCATTCTAAGGGCCACCGAAGGAACTGATGAGATGACACACACATCCTAAAAATCATTCACAGAGGAGGCTAGAATTATAGGAAGAATTTTTAAAGCCCTTAAGAACAGAAAAGATTACATTGCCTACCTCCATCCTTTGCAATTAACATCAACAGTAAGTATACAATATAAGCCTTCCATGTATGCTAAAATTAAATAGTGGAATTCTGGTTGCAAAATTCTGAATCAGATCATCAGAGCTGAGCTTTTACCACTTTTGGTGCCTCTACTTTACTCATGCTGTTGGTGTGGGCTTAAGTGGACCTGGCAGATAATAGAGCCTTGGAGGAGAAATGGGGGGGACCAGTAAGCAGCCGTTGCTGTGGTCCAGGGGGAAATGCTGATGGTTTAGACTAGAGGGGTACTGGACAAGAAGGAAGAAGATGGATCTGAGATATCAGGGTATAAATGAGTGACTTACTTCACACAAATGTGTGTTTCTATGTGAATATATACAAAATTAGAATGAAATCAAGTTTGTCAATATAATAATGCCATCTTCATGCATCTGCAATAAAATACAAGCTTTTAGTTTAAAAAATGGCAGGAATTAGTCGTGTGCGGTGTCTCATGCCTGTAATCCCAGCACTTTGGGAAGCCGAGGTAGATGGATCACCTGAGGTCAGTAGTTCAAGACCAGCCTGACCAACATGGAGAAACCCTGTCTCTATTAAAAACACAAAATTAGCCATGCATGGTGATGCATGCCTGTAATTCCAGCTACTTGGGAGGCTGAGGCAAGAATCGCTTGAACCCAGGAGGTGGAGGTTGTGGTGAGCCGAGATTGTGCCACTGCACCCCAGCCTGGACAACAAGAGCAAAACTCCATCTCAAAAAAAAAAAAAAAAAAAAAAGCAGGAATTACCAGACATGGGGGCTCACACATGTAGTCTCAGTGCTTTGGGAGGCTGAGGCAGGTGGACTGCTTGAGTCAAGGAGTTCGAGACCAGCCTGGGCAGCATGGCAAAACCCTGTCTCAAAATATTTAATTAATTTAATTTAATTTAAAAAAACCAGAATAGTAGCACATTCCTATAGTCTCAACTACTTTGTGGGGAGGGTTAAGGTGGAAGATCTCTTGAGATTGGGAGGTTAAGCAGAAACAGCACCACTGAACCCTGGCCTGAGTGACAGAGTGAGATCCAGTCTCGAAGAGAAAAAAAAAAAAAAAAGCTGGAGTCTTAGGTACCCTACAAGAATGTTCCTATCCTTAAGGGAATCAAGGGACTGCATGATGCATGTGAACAGCATCCTCCAGGTTTATCACAGAAGGGAGGAAAACAACTAGAAACTTGATAACTACTGATCTAATCAACCAGAATTAAATTTCCACAAAGTTGTATCCAGTATGTAAGACAGATGCTAAAGAACAAATTCTGATCCTTACTCAAAAAACTCAGATAAAAGGTAAGCCATATTTCACGATCAAGAGAAAACTGAATTGTAAGAGCATAATGAGGCACTGGTAAAAATTACACTTCAGGTTTGTGAAGGGGTGAAATTTACTCACTGAGACTTCCTATGAGAGAGGTAGACCTGGAACTGCTTGGGAAGAATAAGCATTACCAGGACCCAAACCTGCACTGAGGCTATTTCAAGCATGTGCATGTGGCTAGGCTAAGTCTGGAAGAAAGAGGGGAAGAGTAAGTCATACAGCAACAAGCACCCCCAAAAAGAGTCCTATAATCTGGGACGGGGTCATGGCTGGGATGAGACAAATTGGTAGGGAGTAAACAATTCACAGGACCAAGCAGTGGTTCAAAGGTCTGGCACGGCATCAGAATCACCTGCGGAGCTTTTAAAACGCCCTATCTGGACCCCACCCCAGAACAATTAAATCACTCTCTCCAGAGAGGGTAGGCTTAAGTGAATGGCCTGGATACAGGCGATCTTAAAAAGCACCCAGGTGATTCTAAAGTTGACAACCTCTGACCTAAGGCATATTCAGAAAATCAACAAGCCACTGAGATTGCTATCATTTACCACTCCTAATCAACTAGACCTGCATACCTATCAGCACCAAGTCACCTTCATCCTTTCTGAGAGCACAACTAGCTCAGCAACAACAAATCCCAGACTTTCTCTCCCTGAAGCTGATCATATCAGGATGAACCACATTTCAAAACCACAGCTGGGGGTTGGGAGAGAGAAAAAACACAATCATAACCATGTCATAAGATAAGGCAAGATGCTCTTTACACATTTCTGAATATTGAATGCAGTGCCTCCATGCTTGACTCTACAATGCTGACAAAGTGATGTATTTTGAGTGCCATAATTAAAACAATAATCTCAACAAAGTGGACATTATGAGATAATTGGCCATCCTCAGGTATTAAGTAAACTGTGGTAAAAGCCAAGGATACTCGTCGCCAAGGTCAATTACAATAATTGCTTATCTGAATTACATTATTGCTACTGTAAACCCTGCCTGATTAAGAAATAAAACAATAAAAATCGATGTAACACATACCACGGGGAAATGACCGAGAAGTTGTTCTTGTTCCACTACTGGTCATTTAAAAATCTGTATCAACTTTGTGAAGCCTCCACTTATATAAGCCTGATGCCTTTAAATATACACACACACTTCCTTGGTTTTGCAGAATGAATCTGGCAAGGAAATATGCTATCAGAAATTACAGAAGTGGCTTAGAAGAGCAACATATGGAAACACATGGGAAAATGGAGCAGTGGGTCAAACTAATAATAAAATTAAAGGATAGAGAAATAAATTACTCTGTGAGTTGCATTCATTTTTCATCAATACATTACAGGAGAAGTCATCACTGCCTTTCACAGAAACTGAGTCTCTCAGTTATGCTGGTTTATAGCTTGTGGGAAGATATGCTGTCCTCCACAGGCCACTGTCAGCTTGTCTAGATTAATACTCAGGCAGCTCAACTAACCAGTGGTCAACCAGAAAAGCTCTGAAGATGAGATGGGGGAAAACAGAATTTTTGACCTTCCTTCAGCTAATTGGAATGTATTTGGCAATCGAAGAGTATAAAACTTCTTTTTAAGTTGTGATTAAACATCGAGACTTTGATGTTTTAAACGGCATTCTTCCCCACAATTAACTTCATTAGTGCAGTTAATTAGTGGGGAAGAATACCGTATAAAACATCAAAGCCTCAGTGTTTAGTGTCACCATCAGTTCAGCTAAATAGTAATAGAGAAATAATTTCTTAAAACACATTTATGCATGCTCAGCACTTCTATTTACAAGTTCAAAGTGTATGATAGAAACATTTTTTAAAATATCCAAAGACGCTATCCACGCTGCAATCCAACGGCACTGACAGCAACAGGACACCATTTTATGTAGTATAATTAAGTGGCCAAGAATGCCACATAAAGCAAAAGAATTGAGACATTTAATCAGTTATGAGGACTGTTATAAATCTACCAATACTGTGAAATGAAGGAATGGGGGATACCCAAGGGAAACAGTCACAAGAACTATGTAACCTGAAGGCTAATTCTAATTAGGCATTAGACAGTGGGTTTAGCTTCAATCTTTTGGGGGTAGAGGGGGAGGCCAAGCTATAAAACAAGAACTGCAGATGGCAAGTCCTTATAAGCACTGTTGGACAGCACCAAGTATACTGTGACCCTTCCTTTGCTACACATTGTGCAGAGATGGTGAGACTAGCAAGGTGGGACTTCTCAATGTGAAGCTCATAGCTACTGACTCTACTGAACAAGGAAAGGAAGTTCTCATCTCTAGGTGGGAGGGACCAGAGATGTCATCTAGCCCCTTGCTACTCAAAGTGTGGTCTACTGTACAGCAGCATCTCCTGAGGGCTTGTTAGAAACGCAGAATCCCAGCCTCACCCCCAGATCTACTGAATCAGAATCTACATTATAACCAACATGTGTGCTTTTCATGCTCATTAAAAAGTTTGAGAAGCACTTGTCTATCTTAACCTCTTCATTCTGTACAGGAGGAAACCTGAATCCTAGAGGATGAAGTAACTCATGCAAAGTCACAAAGGGCTCAAACTTGAAGACAGGCCACTGATTTTAAGGACTAACTCTTACAGGAAGCTCAGCAAATGACATCTGTATATTGTGTAAAGAAACCAGCCTGTACAAAGAGCATCGAGGAAACATCAAGAAAAAAGGGCAAGGAAGGGGCCAAGGAATGACAAGGGGCTTGCTTCATTAGGGCTGACAATTCTGGATCCAAATATATTTGATGTAGGCTGAGAACTCTACCAAACAAGTAAGAAGTGAAAACTTGTAAGTTCTACAAAAATGAAAGAAGAAAAAATAATGTTACAATGTTTTGTTTTGTTTTTTGAAAAGATCAGAAAAGGAAGAGCTCTGAGGCCTCCACTTGAGAGATTTTTTTGAAGGGAGAGACAAAGAAGAAAATTTGGCACCCGTGGGGCCAGCACATATGACCACACAGGATGTAGATGATACAACTCCAGACACAGCAGAACACCATAGATTCATGTGAATTGTGCTTCTGCATAACTTGTATGTGGCCATGGCAACACTAACCCAAGCCCACGAACGAGTGAGGAGCATGGTGAGCTTGATACATCACTCACGGATGGATCCAAAGGTCAATTAGAATTTGGGGGAAAAGAAGAATGTAGGCTACATAATGCAAACTGAAGCAACACTATCATTACTGTTAATCTATAATTAATGTGTGTCTTCCCAGTGAAATGTGAGCTCCATGTGGGCAGAAATTTCTTCATGGTTTTTACCACTGTATCCCCAGGGCCTAAGTGCAGTGCCTGCACCTGACTAGATGATACCAAATGACAAAATTTTAAAAGCTTTTAGTACGTATGGTTTTGGGGGCTTATTAAATATAGACACTCACTGGATTTAGCATCATACAGCAAGTACTTCACTGACGATGAAACACAACTGACAGATAAACTTCACTCTTGGGAGCCATTATTAGTTTCCTGGGGCTGCCACAACAAACCACCACAAACTAGGTGGCTTAAAGCAACACACATTTATTTCTTGTGGTTCTGGAGCCTGTAAGTCTGAAATGAAGGCACTGGCAGGACCAGGCTCCCTCCAAAGGCTCCAGGGGAAGAATCCTTCTTTGTCTCTTCCAGCTTCTGGTGGTTGCTGGCAATCCTTGGCATTCCTTGGTTTGCGGCAGCACAACTCCAGTCTTTCCTCTTTGCTTTCTGGTGGACTTCCTTTCTGTGCCTCTGTATTGTCAAACCTCTCTCTCCTTATAAAGACATGAGTCACTGGATGCAGAGCCAACTTTATTCCCAGATGACCTCATTTTAACTTGATGACATCTGCCAAGACCCTATTTCTAAATAAAGGCACATCCACAGGTAGCGGGGATCAGAATTGTATTACATCTTTATGAGACACAATTCACCCCAGAAGAGGAATCAGTATTACAGATGTTTTGATAATGTTTACAAACTGATTGGCTCAAAGCTTTTAAAAAAAGTTTAAAAAGATAAATGATATGCCTAAATAATGTAACTGATATGTAAACTTTCTAAATTACAGTCATCCTTAGGTTATCCATGGGGGTACGGTTCCAGGACACTCCTCCCTCTCCCTTGCAGATACCACATCAGAGGGCACACAAGTCCCTGATATAAAATGGTGTACTATCCACATATAACCTAGACACATCCTTTTGTATATTTTAAATCACCTGTAAGTTGCTTACAATAACCATTTATAATATTATTCATAATACCTAAATCATCTCTCTCTGTATCATTTATAATACAATGTAAATGCTGTGTAAACAGTTGTTAGTTTCATTATTTTTTACTTGTACGTTTTACTGTATTTTTTCCCCCAAATACTTTCCATCTGTGGGTAGCTGACTCTCAGGATGAGGAACCCTGGAATATAGAGGGCCATCCGTACTTGGGAGTCAGTTTCTGAAATCAGCTTCTTCTCTGGTAAAACACCAAATGGCGGATGACGTCGGTGCAGCGGGCGGGGGAGGGGGGGGCGGCGCAGGTCCCGAGATGGGGAACCGCGGTTGGCTTCCGCGGAGGTTTCAGCAGTGGCATCCGGGGCCGGGGTCATGGCCATGGACGCGGCTGGGGCTGGGGCTGGGGCCGAGGCCGCGGAGCTCGCGGAGGCAAGGCCGAGGATAAGGAGTGGGTGCCTGTCACCAAATTGGGCCGCCTGGTCAAGGACATGAACATCAAGTCTCTGGAGGAGATCTATCTCTTCTCTCTGCCCATCAAGGAATCTGAGATCACTAACTTTTTCCTGGGGGCCTCTCTCAAGGATGAGGTTTTGAAGATTATGCCGGTACAGAAGCAGACCCGTGCTGGCCAGCGCACCAGGTTCAAGGCGTTTGTTGCTATCAGGGACTACAGTGGTCACGTCGGTCTGGGTGTTAAGTGCTCCAAGGAGGTGGCCACTGCCATCCGTGGGGCCATCATCCTGGCCAAGCTCTCAATTGTCACCAAGTGCAGAGGCTACTTGGGGGAACAAGATCGGCAAGCCCCACACCGTCCCTTGCAAGGTGACAGGCCGCTGTGGCTCTGTACTGGGGCGCCTCATCCCCATGCCCGGGGCACTGGCATTGTCTCAGCACCTGTGCCCAAGAAGCTGCTCACGATGGCTGGTATCGATGACTGCTACACCTCAGCCAGGGGCTGCAATGCCACCTTGGGCAACTTCACCAAGGCCACCTTTGATGCCATCTCTGAGACTTACAGCTACCTGACCCCCCACCTCTGGAAGGAGACTGTATTCACCAAGTCTCCCTATCAGGAATTCACTGACCACTTCGTCAAGAACCACACCAGAGTCTCCATGCAGAGGACCCAAGCTCCAGCTGTGGCTACAACATAGGATTTTTATACAAGAAAAATAAAGTGAATTAACACTGCAAAAAAAAAAAAAATTCTGAAATCAGTAATGTCTCAATTATGAAGTTACTTCTGACTTGAAAATACTTTTTGGGTAAGAATAAGCAAACTCGAGACATTTGTAATTCAAGCCAATGTACCTAAAAAACAAAAATCATGCTCTCTTACATACTAATATTCTGCCAAGTAGGTAAGTGTGATAAGTAATGTTCAGACATATGACCTTCTGTGCAATCCAAATGAATTATCTTTAGATATTTTGTGATGACTGTTCTTGTGATTTAATCACTTCATAATAAAATCCATGTTTCATTTTGCTTTGTTTTAGCAAAGGCTTGAACAATCCCCCTACAGTAGCATTCTGGCAAATACTCTTAAATTACATAATTCACCAGGTTCAACTCTGTTGCTACAATCACTTTCAAAGAAGATGGTTATAATACATTATCATTACAGCTATACAATCCGAGCTGAATTTTCCTTGGCTGAATTCCTAACATTTTAATGCTGAAATTGATCTGTTTTAAAAACATCATGTGAAGGGTTTTTAAATACCATACATGCCCAAGCTCTTTATTTTAAATGCTTTAGAAATGAGCTTGCATAAACAGAAAAAAAAAATCTGTTCTCTAATCTAGCATTAAGCATATTTTAAAGAACAACAGGCATGTTTCCAAACAAACTACTGCAGTATACAAATTACCCAGCAGGAATGAGGATAACAATGCTTCTTAAATGGGCTTAGAACCCAGAGAAAGCTGACATTTCATCAAAGTTGTCTTGGAAACAATACTCTTTGTATTATTTCAAACACAAGAGGTGTGTATTTGGGCGTGGGCTATTTCTTGTGAAGCAGTCAGATGGTAAGGCTGCCAAGGTTCTAGTGCAGTGATGAGAAATGAGAAAGGAAGCACTGAAATTACACAAGCCGTTCATATGCACACGGGCCTAACCGTGACACACATGCCAGGCTCCAAGCCAATTCCCACTTGAGCAGACTTTCCTTTACCTCTAAAACTACTGCGTTAGACTGACTCCAATAGTGGCTGCAATTTTTCACACCTCCCTATAGCCACATTTGGTAGGGCTCTGTCACACTGATTAGACTCAGCCATGATTTGCTTTGGCCAGTGGCAGACCACCCACCTGACTGTAGCCACATAAGCAAATTCAAGCCTGGCTAGAGAGAACAGCTTCTGCCACAGCCAACACAGAGACTAATGAAATGCAACAAATGCTTTCCATTTCTTACCAGTATGCTTTGGAACACATGATGCAAAGAGAGGCTCCTAGACTCTGCACTAGTGTCAAAAGAACAAGTCTTGGCCAGCCTGCTAGAGGGATACCATAGATACATAAGGGAGAGCCAAGTCAGTTGAGCTAAAGACTTTCTAGACCAGCAGTCCTCGATCTTTTTGGCATCAGGGACTGGTTTCGTGGGAGGCAGTTTTTCCATGGATTGGGGGTGGTGGTGGTGGTGGTAGTGGTTTTGGGATGAAACTTTTGCACTTCAGATCATCAAGCAACAGTCAGATTCTCATAAAGAGTGTACAACCTAGATCCCTGGCATGCACAGTTGACAAAAGGGTTTGCACACCTATGAGAATCTAATGCCACTGCTGATGTGACAGGAGGTGGTGCTCAGGCAGTAATGCCCACTCACCCGCCACTCACCTCCTGCTGTGCAGCCTGGTTTCCAACAGACCACAGCCCAGTACCAGTCTGTGGCCTGGGGTTTGGCGATCCCTATTCTAGACCTCCCAGCTGACTGTAGACACATAAGCAAATTCAAACCCGGCTAGAGAGAACAGCTTCCGCCGCAGCCGACGCAGAGACTAATGAGATGTAACAGATGCTTTCCATTTCTTACTAGTATGTTTTGGAAAAAGTTCTTAGATAGTAATTGCTAACCAATATAACCACTTAATTGAGGATGTGCATTATAGGAATAAATACTCCTTCCCATTTTTAAGACATCCATATTAGGAGTAGATGAAAAAAATATAAATTAACAAGCAACCTCATTCCTTTTTTGGTTCTCGCCTTTCGATGGAATATGATTTTTGATATCTTAAGAAATGAGTCAGTTTATGTATAAATGATAAGCTGTCATAACAAGTTCATTACAGCTTCACCAACACCATGTCCACATGTATCATCATTGTATATGCCCTCCACAGTACTTTATTTGGATAGTATTATTACTACCATGTTAGTGATGAGCAAACAGAACTCTTTTGAGAGTAGGTGACTGCTTAAAGTCACAAAGCTAGAAAGGAGTGAAGTTACTATTAGAATATAGTATTTCTGATTCTAGGTCTCAACTGATTTTTACTAACATCCTAATACAAACATATGGAGAATATTTCAAGATCAGTGAGATTACCCACACTTTATCAGTTCATGGATTAAAAGGCAAGATATAAAAAGCTATGTGCAGATGTAACTTACATAATTTAGAAAAAAATAGAATGGCTCACAGTATGATTCCTAAATTACACTGATATTCCAGAATTACACAATTTAGACATCATCAACAATGATCAAGGTACCAGAGTAATGGTGCCTTCATAATATTAGCACAGGTACCACACAAACTCTGTAATAGGTTCTCTCTCTATTTGAATATCAAAGTGAGTTTCAACTTCATGTTCACGCTCAACTTAATTCTACCTAAGAGTTTCTTCCTGTGTACATTTCAAAAAGGGGATGTACACCATCTTTTAGAATTCTCATTTCATGCAAAAAAAGTAACTATAAGCCTTATAAGAATGACCACAGAGTCAGCTGACTCTTGAAGACAAAGGAGAATAGGAATGGAGAAGGAAAGAATCCATCTTAAAGATAGGAGCAGTAAGGCTGGGAGTGAAACTGACGGCCTATATCAAAGGCTGACACATTTTTTTCTGTAAAGGGCTTGACAACAATCAATATAGGCTGCAAACCACATAAGGTCTTGTTATATATTTTTTTGTTTACTTGTTTATGCCTTGTCAAAAAAGTAAAAACCATTCTTCCCTCACAGGCCACACAAAAACGAACTGGGAAATAGATTTGGCCTGTGGGCCATAGTTTACTCATCCCTTTGTCTATGCAGGAGTAAGAGAATGTGGTGTATATCTACATTTTTTTTTATAATCTGAAGACTGTCACCACAATAATCATAACAAGTTTCTGGCATTCTCTCCTTAGGATGCTTCTCAATAGGTCCCGGAAGGCGAGATAAAGGCTGTGGGCACAGTGTGATCTGCAGCCCTAACAAAGAGTCATTTTACTACCCTGAGATGCTTGAGCACTTTGATTCTCATGATTTTAAATGCAGGGGAAAGGTCCTAAGTTGTTACTTGACAACTTCAGTTATCAGGCAACAGAGTTTCATGGCTTAATTTATGCATAGGACACTGGACAGGAAATTGCTGGCTGACCGGTTTGGAACAGCTGCCTGAACATTCCTCCCTCCCTTCACTGATTTATTCAAGAGTGTAACAAATGGCTACACAACACAGGCCCCTTGCAGGAATGCAGGAAGGCTCAAAGCTGAAAAGGACAAGGTTTTTTACCCTTTTGCCTCTTTTCAATGACAGAGTTAGAGATAAGGTAAGCACACAAGTTCCAAGGTTGGACTTGGAAAAGGCTGTCTGGAAATCCTTGAGAGCCAGATGTGCTTTACAATTCAGTAATTGGGGAATTTCATAAAGGCATATGATACATACTGTAATGGGGGAGGAATAACAGTCCATAATCAAACATTAATATGCTTTTATATCACTTCAGGCCAGGTTCAGTTTTGTTACTGCATGAGACGACAAGAAAAAAACCTTTTGGTTTTTAGAGCTTTCTGGATTTCAGCATAGTGAATAAGAGCCTGTATATTTATTTTCTCTTTTAAAATAGAGTTTTATCTTAAGAAAACCACAAAATAGGATGCTTCCAGATCCAAACTCCAACCAACTGCCAACTGTGCTGAATCTGAGTAGCCTTCTTTATGGCACCAGATCTTAACAATAAAAACAGGTTACCAGTTTTTATTGAGACACCAGTGAGGTAAGTTCAAACTAATCAAGACGGCACTCTTTTGGTAACATCTTCTTATGCTACCCAAGAGTCATTTAAAAAAATCAAATTATATATAACTACATTCTATACCAAATTACACACACACCCTCTTTCTTTCTCTCTCTCCCCTTCTTCCCGCTAGGAAGTAGTTAAGAAATCCTTGGAAAATACGTAGCATATTTTTCTTAAAAAGTTATCCTTGGAATCACTGAACAAACCTATATCTACGTGGCTAGAAAAGTCAGTGTATCCTTAGAATAAGGGCTTAGAATGTCTTTAACGTGGACATTAGATCTTCAATTCCTGAGGGAAACATCCTAACACCCAGTCACATGAAAGATGGAGATCCTCCGACTTTCTGGGTATGTATCCTGTCACTCTGTAAGGAAAGAGCCTATATCCAATTGACCTTTGCTTCTGCTACAACATTGAATATGAAGAGTTCTTTGCCATATGAAGCAAGCTCTTTATCAAAATCTAACAAATATATAACAGCTATTTTTATTTGTACATCTAAACATAAAGAACAAAGTAACATTACTGGGTTGACTGATGAGTGGTGATCTTTAACCACAGCAGATTAAGGACATTCAAGACTCATTCTAATTCATCAATACATAATTTCTCCCAGAGTGAATCTTATTTTTTGGATGTAATCACAAACTTAAAGAACTCCTAGTCCAAATATTTTGGTGTTAAATACTGAGTATTAATAAAAATACAGGCGAAGGGAGTTGTCCAAGGTCCTGCAGCTAGTAAGAGTGAGGATTAGGAAAGTCTGCATGTGGTTTCCAATTCAAGCTTGCAATGAAAGTCAGCTGATAAACAAGGACACTTACTCAAATACAATGTACATAGATTAATGCCTACAAATTCTTTTCTTTTGGCCTTATTGTATGAGGTTCATCATAAAGTCAGGATTATGATGAAAAAAAGGTACTGATTACTGAACAGGCAGATTCACTGTACATACCTTAAT